GAAAAAAGTCAAGAGTATCAGCCATTAGAAGACTGATTCAGTTTAAACATTAGAAGGTGCACAGGATTGAAGGTATTACCTCAGAAAACACTGCTTATACTTTTATAATTAGTGGCTCATCTATCACCTGATTACAACCTTATATTCTCTTTCTGCATGTTTTCACAAACATACGTAAAAAGTAACCCATGCTGAATATGTCTGGCATCGAGTAGAACACACAAGATGAGTGTATTTAGCCATTTTAACTCTTAAACACCACCCGTATGTGGTTGCTGAACCAGATTCTCCCAGACAGCATACTATATGGAGAGGATAAGGTATTAAAGAATGCTCCGGACACGCTTTCAGGGCTCAGAAGTGCTAGCTGGTAGATCCACTCTACTGAACGATACCCCAGTGGCCTCAAAGAATTATTGTAGCTTTCTAAAGTGACTCATTCATTCCCAGGGGGTTGTCTGGGCTCAGAGAAAATCTGTCTCACTGATTATTAGTGATTTAGTAATTGGACGGTAGTGATGGACTTCTGATAACCTAGAGATTTGCTTTAGCTTCACTGGCAAAGACCTGTGTTTTCAGAGTCAAAGGTTACACCGTCTACTTGTGTGTGTGTGTGTGTGTGTGTGTGTGTGTGTGTGTGTATTGGGGGTGGAGAGGGGGGCCTGTACAAAGTACCGCTTTTGTGAACCTGAATCTGCCAGTCCTAGTTCTGACTGCATCATCCTGAGCAAGTCACATTCCACTCCTGCCTCAGTTTCTTCATACGTAAAAGCAGGAGATGGGTCAAATGATCTCCACCATGTCTTCAAACTCTGGAAAATCTGGTTTCTAGGCATGGAGTATCTTCGGATGCATGTGTGCTATGTTGAAAGCTGCTAGTTTTATAATATTAATTTTACCTTTCTCACACCAGTATCCTGGATTAGAATTAGAATTGTCCCTTACAGGTGCATAGAGAAACCAAACAGCTCATTTATGTGTCCCGCATCCCTTCTTCCCTAATCATCTTTCAGCTCTGGAACTGCACAGCTTCTATGAGTATACAAGCTTTCCCTTTTTTTTTCTTTTTTCTTTTTTTTTTTCTGTTGCTGTTTATGTCCTAGGTCATTAACTGTGATGTTGGGAGTTGTAATTTCCTTTTTCTCATTATGATATTTTGAAATAGGAAACAGAATATCATTTTTGCACCTAGTAGACATGTAGAAAAGCAGAACAACCCACCAAATTTCCTCTGGCCTTTCTGTTCTCTTAAATAGTAAACAAATGAAATCTGTATTCCCTTCTTTTATACATGGTAGAAAGGGTAGCTTGTCCTGGGAGACTGAGGTCATTTTCAAAATTGTCTTATTATCCTATTATTCTCTGGGAACAACAAATAAGTGACTTTTCATCTTGGGGTCATAGAGATATAAGCAACCTGCCCTATTAGTATATCACTTGATGGGTACTTTGCTGTGAAGTTAACAAGAAAAAGGTTTAAAGGGGAGCATTCATCTTCCCAAATGATATTTAAAAATCACCACTTTTGCAGGAAGATAGGGCTTTGCAAACTACAACTTCAGTGACCTTTCTTTTTTAATAGGTATTTATGAAACTGTCTTATCATAAAATCTTTGAGAGGAAAGTATAAGTTCCAGGGACGTCTTGGAGGCCATGCCAGGGAAAAGGGGCTTTTTTCAGGACTTGTTCTTAGCAATGCCAGGTAGGCAATGCCCAGTGGATGGCCCACAAAATCTTCCCTGGAGCAGTGTTTATTGAACTGCAGGCCATGCCTCATCAGTGGGTCATGTAATCCGTTCAGTAGGTGATGACTGGAAATTTTTAAAAACATGAAGTAAATTATACTAAAGCAGAATAGAATAGAAAATATCAGAGTACATGGCACGGAGAAGGTTGTGTAATGTCTAGTGAAACCTTTGGTTCATTTTGTGTGTGTGTGTGCGAGAGAGAGAGAGAGAGAGACCCATTTTGGTACATCAAGTTCCAGTGTAAAATACATTCTTACTACAGATTATAGCTTAAAAACTTGTATTTCTAGGGGCACCAGGGTGGCTTAGTTGGTTAAGTGTCTGACTCCTGATCTCAGCTCAGGTCATGATCTCAGTTTGTGGGTTTGGGCCCCGCATCGGGCTCTGCTTGGGATTCTATCTCTCCTTCTCCACCCCTACCCCACTTGTGCATGCTCTCTTGCACTCTCTCTCTCAAGATAAATAAATAAACTTTAAAGTAAACAAACCAACAAAAAGTGTGTCTCCCCACCTCCCTGGAGAAATACACCACCATGCACACGTTCCAGTGTGGGCTCCCGACAACTTACTCTATTTGTGACAAAGCAAATTTATAAATGAAAGGAAAAGGAATTCTTCCAAATGTGACTAGTTACTTTCCAACTCTATATTTAAACTGCCCCTAAGTTATTCTGAATTCTACTTTTTGTTCTCTGAAAAATACTTCTATTAAGTCACTTTTCCACATCAGCCCAAGGCAAACCGGAAAATGGGTCAAGTTTGTCTTCCTTTCCTGGGGGCGCTTCCTACCTGTTTTCCTGGGGGCATCCCCACCAATGTTTGTACTTTCTTGCCCTTTCGTTTTTTCAAAGCAACTCCTCATGAAAGATTGATAAGGGCACTAAACAACAGTATAAATGACTGATGATGCTTTAATATAACTCCATTCCCAAAGGTATTTATATTTTATCCAAATATGAAACTTCACATCCTATAAAAGAATCTTGTAGAATTTAGCTGCAAGCCAAGGAAAAGAGAAATTTGTAGAGGAAGAGTGCTTTCCTAGCACTCTGCAGGTCCTAGCAATAGCTGGCCATATTCCCTTCATAATGTTTCCTTTCTGACATGTCAATGCATGCAGGATTTCTTTCCCTGGGGATATGGGAACTACAACTTCAGCGGCCTTTCTTTTTTTAATAGACATTTATGACACTGCTTATCATAAAATCTTTGAGAAGAACTATTTTATCTTACTCAACTTTGTATTCATCTTACACCCAACTTATGGTCTGGCAAATATGGCATCTTTAATTAGTAGTAGTTATGACTGTGCATTATATAATTATACTACTTTCTAACATATGTGGTAACATTGTTTCCCAATGTCAAATTAGAAAGAAAGCACAAATGCATGTTTTCATGCTGAATATGAGACAGTATTTTATGTAAAGCCTCCACACACTCATCATAAAACCACAATAATAACAATTTTAAAATTCCACTACTAACTTCTTGAGTATAAAATATGCCAGGCTCCCAGGACTAAGTATTTTGCCCATATAGTCTCACTTATTCCTTGCAAAACCCCTTCAGTGAAAATATTGTCATTCCCTCCATACCCCTTGCACCATAAACAGCACATGTACAATCTTACAGATGACAAAACTAAGGCTGAGACTGACATCATGCCTGCCAAGACATAGTTACCATGTAGCAAAGCTATAACCCAGAGGGAGTCCATCTGCCTGCAAAAGTCAGTTCTGCTCTCCTCGCTTTTACATTTCTTAGACTTGCAGTAGTACCTAAAATTGTCATTTTCATTTTCATTTCAAACACTCTACCTTTCGACTTAAGGACAAAGTTGTGAATGTAAGAACACCAGGAAGTTTCCTTTGTTTATTTTCGTTTTTAATGAAAAACACTTTATCACAAACTGGTTACGTACTCAGAAAACATCTGGCCTGAGCTAACTCAATGCTTTCGTCTTGTTGTTTCTGCAGCCTATTATCTATCTCCACCTTCAAGCCATCTTTAAATGGCAAAATAAAAAAGAGAGTAAAGAGCTGGGTATGTGGACAATCTTAACAGCATGGTGGTAGTATTCTACCAAGTTATTTGGATCTGTTCCGATAACTTTTTTGTTTTCCTCTACAAATCGCAGTGCTTAAGACATCTGCTATGAAAAACACTATCTTCCATCTGCACACAGCTTCCATATTCCCTAGTCTGTTTACACAGACAGTTTTTAACGGCCACCGTTTACATTAAAGGTCTCCTTTGTACCGTTCTTCTCCCAAAGAGTTTTAAATCCACTCCAAAATGTCCTCGGTGATCAGAAGCCACAGATATCTAGCAGCCACGTCTACTCCCATGACAGTAAAAGGAAGAAATTGATTTTGTAACAGATAGACTGAGAAAAACCCAGGAATCACTTTTGTTCTTAGAACACAGAATGAAACCACCGACTACCATGTGTGCTCTGGTAGGTACTCTTAGATTCCAAACTTCTATAGCACTTTCCCATATTAATTCAGTCTTAAGTTTCAGGAAATAAAATAATTATGTAGTTAAACAGAGATCCTTATACAAACAAGTACTGTGTTTACAATGTAGCAATCCATTAAAATCAAAGACAGGCATAGATTATGAGAAGGAAAACCTGAGCCAAGTAGACTAGCACTCACCATTTGCCCAGTCCCCATCCAATGACAGTAAACATCCTATTGGAATCTGCTCCAAAAACAAAGGCTTTACCAACCTAATGTCAAGGTAAACATGTAGTAAATACCCATTTGATACTACTAACCAGTGGTACCATTTTCACTCTTTAGGGTATAAACACAACTAAATGTTGATATTGTTTTCTTTTAAATTGGCATCAATACATGATAGCTTTTTACTTGACAATTTTTAAGAAGTTCACTAGGTGCTGGTTCATATGGATTTAAATTTTCTAGCCATAAACCATCTGAATTGGAATTAAGTAAAGACATTCTACTATTCAGGAAAAAAACAAAACAAAACAAAACAAAAAACAAATTTCCCATAGATTACATCAAATGCCATCCCCTAAACTAAGAACTACATAGAATAAAAGCCCCATAAACTTCAACTGTGATAGTCCTGAAATCAAGGTCATACGATTCTTCTACTGTAAATCATACAAAGAAGAAAAGTAAGGAAAACGTATTTTCAGTACCACGAATATATTAATTGGGAACAGAGTTAGGTCTCTCTTGAAAGGGGTGTAATCTGTAATATCTAATGACATACCTTAAGTTCTCTGAAGAAGATACTACTCCTGGCCCACTCAACAATGGAGAAGAGCGTTTGATCAGCCATTTTGCACATAAGCCCAAACGTGCTCAGCTTTTCATGCTTGCTTCGGTTAGCTTGCTCTTGCTGCAAATAGGCCATGATTTTGGCCTGGACTTGAGGCTCATCTGGCTCACACTTCAGAAGTTCCAGAATCAGATGTGGGATGCTTGCCGGGGAGCTTGTCTGGTAACTATCCATATAGGAATAGCCCATGATTGACTCCGGTGAGCTGGTGTAGGGGTCTGGATACTCAGACTTGATGGCCCGACTAGGAAAGTGACTGTATGTTTGGTAACCCTGCAGGCTGCCATGAGGTGGCATTGTCATGCTAATGGGGGAAGTTACAAAGGGACTTCTGTCATAGTCTGTGGGAGGCAAGGCAGCGTGGTTCAGAGGTAGGCCTTTGGAGGCAGAATGGATGTTCTGAATTGCAGAAGAGATGGTGAGCTCAGAGGGCATTGCTTGGATCACCTGAGACATGGCTTCTAGCTTAAGTCCATTGGCTCGGATGAGGGCTTTTTTCTGTTGCTTTAGGGCCCTGTCTCTCTTGTACATCGGCCCAAATTTATTCCTTCCTCCGCGCATTCGGTCGGCCCTTACCGCTGAGGGGAAATTAAAAAAAGGAGTAAGGGTATAAATAAGATGGAAATTATTAGCATTCTCTAGACATCCAGATACCTAGAAATGCTGGAAATTGTTCAGAAGTGTTATATGTGTGGTGGTTTTCACATCATGCCTCACAAAGATTCTTCCCTCAAAACCATGTCCTCCTTATTTATGAATCCTCTCCTCTAAGTGTTTGTCATCAAAAAAATATGTTGGATACATAGGGACCTATTACTATTAACCCTTTGGTGGACCAAAAAGATTTCATAATCTTTGCTAAACACAGGGGATACTTCAGATTGCTAAGAAAGAGCATTAGTTTCTATTATGCCTGTTATGTCAGAATTCTCTTTGCAGAAACCCAAACTGCTAAGAGGAAAAACTAAAAAAAACAAATAACCCATCTCTGGATTAAATTGTGAATATCTTCCCTTAGAACATCTTCCTCCCTCAAAGCCATTTTGACTAATTTGCTGCAAAAGGATTGGGTACGTGCTCTTCCTGGAAAATCTGTTTCACCTGGATTTGATGAGCACACATCAGATAACCTCCAGTTATTGTTTTTAATTTAAGCCGAACTGGACATAATTAAAGCAACTGCATTTCAGAAGCTGTCAGGACTGTCCACCATCATAGTGCTGTGTGGAGTTTGGGACCATGTCTAATAAGTGAGTTTAGCAGTTCTCTCCAAGCCCATAGTGGCCAATGGCAATTAGACAGCAACCAGCGACCTCTGACAGCTTCTGACATGTTGAAATTGCTGGAGGTTAAGTTTTTGAGCCTTTTGTCTTAGGATTAGTATAGCATTAAAAATTTATTGTGAATGAGAGGTATCCAGAATATTGCACAAGATAATAGTTTTTCATCTGGGTGATAATTTATTGAATATTCAACTGTTTCACATCACTGTTAAGGAAGTAGAGCTATGCCCCCACAAGTAACTTACAGTTAATAAAGCACACTTTTTAAGGTAAAGAAATGCAACTTTCTCCTTTCATTAAAAAAAGAAGAAATCAAATGGTATCATATGAAATCACACCATTTCATTTTTGACATTATATCTTTTGAGTCTCACTAGAGTAAACATCCCCCACAATATTTTGCTGTCTGGAAAATAATAAAGTGATTGGTAATAAAGAAATTGGTGAGCATTTCTTTCTCGATCTTTTTCTCAGTATCTTCTGAAAAACAATATAGAGCTAACAGTTCTCTTGATAACCAGAGTGGCTACTTCTATTGGGAAGGAATCTATTAGCAATTCAGAAGATTTATTTGAAATCTTTGGAATATTTCTATCAAGTGTGAGCGCCACATAACAGAAACACTCCAAACATAAGTAGCCTGTGCCTCACTGATCAAATAAAATGCATTCGTGTATCTGGAACAGAACAGTGACCGACATGCGTTAGTATCACTTTCTTTGCACTATAGTTAATCTGTGCAAAGTCAGTAGGCTGAAGACTGAAAACAGCAACACACCATAAGAGTCCACGAGCTACAAATTATTTACAGTGGTCACACATTAACTTTACTCCTTGCCAATCTGTACATTGTATGTACCAGCTTCTACGCTTTTGACAAACTTTAACATGGTTTTTGGGGAGCCACTCTCTTGTTCCTGTCAAACCAATTCTACTGATTTAATAGTTCATCATTTTTTCACGTTTCCTACTTTCCACCTTTATTTTGCAGGCTTCATCATTATCTTACAAAAAAATAAGGGAATGTGCTTTCCTACACTATCAAAAATGACACTCTGTATGAGCACCTGCATTTCACAGTTAAAGGCCTTAACTTTTGCTCAGGAGTCATGATATTAATAGTAACAATTATGACAATTAAACAATTTAAAAGATTAAAATTAGACTTTTACTAAGTTATCCTGATTTGAAAACTTACAATTTTTTTAGCTTTTGCAAATTTTAAAACTTGTTCTCATTTGAATAATAGTCCTGTTTTCATCTCACCTGGCCTCTTTAGTGTCAAGTGCATCTGCTCCCCAAACTAAAAATTAAAAAGAGAGAGAGAGAGAGAGAGTGGGGATGGGGGGGATGGAAACTCCAATATTTAAATTTTTTCCTAGTAGATTTCACCAGTGTTTAAATGAGACTCAGACTGTTCTGCTCTCAAAACATAAAAAGATCTTACATTACTGTCCATGGTGTTAGAAGACTAGGAAAATGATGTTACCGTATTATAAGTACAACATTATTTTAAATCTTATGTCCTTGGAGAGTTTTAACAGGCAGCAGTAGTCTTTAGAAGAAACTTACCTTCTAGCTTCATTCCAACACTTAGACATTTTTGAAATCGACAGTAAGGACAACGCTTTCTCTGTGTTTTATCAATTTGGCAGTTCTGGTTTTCTATACATGTGTACCTTTTATTATTTTGGACTGTTCGCTTAATAAAACCCTATAAGACAGAGAAAATAGTGAGGCATAGTATAAATCTAACACCCGTCTCTTCCATTGTTTCATTTTAAGGAAATCACCAATAAATCTTTTCACTGAACCAATGAGCCCTTCCGTGGTTCTGTGGTTTGTTTCACATTTTAACAAGATCAATCCTCCAAAACAGCGCTGGGCCAAAGTGGAGAGTTTTCTGGCACTACAGTTATATTCCTAGAATTACATCAAATCTTGGGAAGATCTGGATATACTTCATTTTGTCTCAACAGACAAGAGAAAAATATATTCTATACCGACCAGTAATTTTAAAAAATCTGTTTTCTTATTAACCTCATATTCCAGATAAGGTACTCATGGAGATCTGCACCGTTTGTGAGTAGTCTGATAGATTTTAGTGGCAAATTAGTGTAAAATACCATTGGAAAAACTGAATAGCAAAACACCCCAGATTTTTTACAAATGTCAGCACTAGACTGTCAAGAGCAAGAGGATTTAAAGAGTAAAATGGGAAAATGTTCATAATTACATTGGAATACATTCAAGTTGGGGAACTCTGTAAAAAAAAAAAAGAAGGTGAAACTAATGGAAAAGAAAAATGTATAGCAGAGAGCTGAATTTTAGCACAGTGTACTTATATTTCACCCAAAAGTATTCATCAAAAACAAATTTTGTAGCTTTATAATATAATAACAGCTTTACCAGAATGGTATACTCTTTATGTTTATCGCACTAGCCATAAAGCGGAACGATCTTACTTTGTTATAGAGAATGAAGGGATTTTCCTGGCAGTGGTTTAAGTATTTGTACCAAGCTTTCTAGTTTAAAAAAATGTTGAAAAATAGCAGGGGTATCAAATTGACTAGGACTATATCAAAAAGGCCTGAGCGAAATTCTTGATGTATGGCTGATATTATTAGGAACAAATGAGTACATTTTAGATATTAAAACTTCTTGTATTTAAACAGGTCATGTAACTTATTTATGAAAGCCTTTCTACTATAAACTGAGATGTGGTTTCTTATCCTTTATGATATAATTTTTTTTAATCTTAAAAATTATTTTTGGAATAAATCAGGATGAAATCATGCAGTTGAGAACTTAGACTTATCTGTGGATAAAAAATGTTTGGACTTGCAGCACAGAATACTCTGGAGTTAAAATATATTTGGGAAATACTTTGTCATGTTCCCTCTCAAGAACAACGATGCTTTAAATATATATAAATCAAGCAAAATCAATATTTAGGACTGTTAGAAATAGAAGTCTTTCTACAGATACATCACTTTACTACAATAAAATATTTTAAAGCCATGAGACTGGCAAAGTTTTCTAAACAGCATAATTTTTTTTTGCCTTTGGAATTAAATCAAACACATATTTCAAAGAATCATCTCCCTAGGACTAACTCCTTCTCTCATTTTTAATTGAGTCTAAAAAAGACAGCAGCCTCAATTTAGCTTTAAAAAGTAATCCAATGGTTTATTTTGGATTTGAACCTTATATTTATCAGGTAGCAATGTGTAAGCAAACCTTGCAGCTTTCACAGGTGAGGAGCCCATAATGGTATCCAGACACTTTATCTCCACACACCGGACAGAGCTCTTCAAGATCTTCATCATAAGAGTAATTCACCATTTTAAACTGAGACACTGAAACAAGAAAAAGAATGTATATACATATCTAATTAACTTACTATGTAGGTTTTAATCCTGCAGTGAAAAGCATTTTGGTGATCGGTGGGCAAATATCACAGGTAAAATATAAAATATATACATACACATTTTTTTTTATTCTGGTGTACTTAAAAACTAGTTTTATATAATGAAAGCAAAACATCTTTTGGACTCAACGAACTTACACTTCCTATTTCTTAACTTCAAAAGATTTCCAACTGTTTCTGTTAAGAATTTTAAACTGACGCTGTTGAACACTTCTCTCCTAACTGCCAGACAGCAAATCAGAATAGAAACATGAATAGCAGAAAGTAACAATTTAGAACTGCTTTTCAACCTTCCAAAGTTAAGAACCAAAATGTCACCTTTGCCTAAGGGAGAGAAGCAAGCTCACGCATTCTCCCACTCTTGAAGTAAGTTTGCTGCAAGTACACCTCGCTTATCAGGAGAGTAACACCGATTTGCAAACACGTTGACCGAGAACCTGAAGCCCCAGAAACTGCTCCCCAGCAGCAGCCCCTACTTTCACAGCCTGCGGCTCCCTACGTTGGAATCTGTTCGATTAATTGAAGCATTCAGTTGTTTATCGTCAGGATTCCTGTTCTGGATACTTTCGTCCCTTCACATTCGAAAACCTCCTGTAAAAATAATGAAGGAAAAGAGGAAGGACGCCCGGATGGGGGAGGGGGGGAAGGTATAAATACACAGGAGGGTTTGGTTTCGTCCCCAAGTATTAAAGTCCTGCGATAAAACTTCAGATGTTACCGATAATTGTTGCAAAATATAAACACCTTGAGATCGCCCTGTTAAAGTTAAACAGGCATCAGGCCGTGGCTATGCGCGCGGCTCACTGCGGGGATTGAGTAACCACGTTCCGTCGGACTCAGCCCTGCGAAGGCGTCATCGCAGCTAAAAGATGGTTAAACTATGCACAGGAAGGACAGTGGCCAGGAGACCCCAGATAATACCTGAGCTAGTCCCTTCCTGAGACTCACTCGGGGGTAGGTCTCGGAGGGCGACGCGGCGGATACCGGTGGTGAGGGGCAGGACGGCGCCGCCCGGCCACCAGCTGTACCCCTCCCGGGCACCTTCCTGTGAAACCCCGGGGCGCGCTGTCCTTTCGCCCCTTGCTCAATCAACTCTTGCTCGGCTACACTCGGGCGCACAAAAGCAGATTCGAGTTTAAGTTAATCAGTGGCGTTTGCAGGGGGCGGGGCGGGGCGGGGTGGGGGCGGGTGGGGGAACGGACGGCCGGAGAAAAGTTTCCTCCAATTTGTTTACCAAAAAGGAAAGAGAAGTAGCTCCTACTGCATCCCCAAAGTTCCCGGGCACTCCATCACCCTAATGGGGCCTCTTCGCCAAGGACTCGTTCCTTTCCTCTTTTCTTTTTAAAATATTTTTTTTTTCCTTTACGGATTCTGCAGGCCTCTGGAAAGGGCCGTGGGGAGGTGAGGCCACTTGCACCACTTTGAGGCTGAGGGCCGAGCACCGACCTGCTGAGTTGAGACGTCTCTTCCGGAGACACAGAGCCCTGGCCTGGGGCTTAAACCGGAGTGAGTTAGCCAGAGTTTGGGGCTGGGGGCTGGGGTCCCGGGAAAAGGTGTTCGCGTGGAGGCAGGCTTCTTGAGCTCAATGAAATAGAAGTAAGGAGATGCTGAGCGCAGGTCTCCCAGGGTCGCCAGCCCCAAAGAGGTCCGCACTCGGGTTTTGGGAAGCTGGGGGTTTGGGAAGTTGGTTTATAGCCCCGTGTCTTCCAAAACTCGTAACTATTGTCCTGTGGCACGTTTTCGCGACGGGGAAAACTGTACCAAGTGTGTTCTTCTCTACCTCCCCTTCTCCCAACAAAGTAAACTCTAGCTGCGCACCCAAAGGCACAGCCAGGCAACCGTGTGCAGGAGGATTCGGTGCCCATCTCGGGGATCCAACGCTCAAAGACCAGGGCTGGGGATGGGGACCCTCCTGGACAAAGCCAGAGGCGATGTGGGTGGACAGTCGCGCTATGCGAGACCCGGGCATCTTTCAGAGTTTCCCAGGTGCTGTACCCAAGCAGGCGTTGGGGCAAAAAAGTCCCTGTCTTGAGAAAGTAGAGAGGACCGTGGGGGCTTGTAAAGCTACGGCCGAAGAGAGGCACGCGGGTAAACCCCCCCTTAGTAAGCGGTCCCGAAACTCAGTGGCGGTCTTCTTTCTGGTTGGACTAGGGCGCGTCCCCGGCTGAGCCGAGAACAAGTATGGGAATGGGGTCCCCACCCCCCGGGGGCTCCCCTCGAGGTGCAGGCCGAGTGGCACAGAGGAGGTCGTGCCCTGGCCCTTCCCACGACGTTTTCGAACCCAGAGCTGAGCGAGCGGCCCGCGGCTTCTCCTGAGCCCTGGGCACAATGGAAGTCTAACTTTCTGCTTTGGACAGGAGGTGTCATGAACTCCCCTCCCGAACTTTACAAGGAAAAATATTACAGTGGCATTTCCCTCGCATCTCCCCCGCCCCCAAACCCTTATTCTTGCCTCCCCTGCTTCTTGATCCAGCGTTTTCCCTGAGCGCCTTTTCCCTAGTCTTTCAGAAGCGCGGGCGCCGCAACGAGGGGCACAAACTTTTCCTTTTCGATCCAATATTCCGCTGGCCTCACGGGCGCCCAGAGGAGTCCCCCTCCGCAGCCTGAAGCGGTTCCGGGTCCGGCTCACGGCGCCGCGTCCCGCACGCCCCGGCCTCGCGGACGCCCAGGTGCGAGCGCCAATGCCTCTTTGAACCAACCGGGTTCCTCCAGCACCCAACCCTCAAGTTGGTCTCAGGGGCCGCAGCCCCCAGGGGACGCCCGCAGCCCTTCCTGGAGGCTCGGCGAGACCCCAGCATCACCGAGAGGTAACCGACCCCCAGGCACGACGCACGCCTCGCCGTGGGCCGCCCACTGTCCCCAGTCCCCGCGGGCGCCGTCAGCGCCCCTGGGCCCCGGCGCGGCAGGCGCGCCGCCGATCCCGCACCGCCGCGCGCACCACCCCCGAACCCCGCTCCAGCTCGGCCCCCGACGCTTCCCCGGCGCTTTCAAGTTCGCTCAAGAGGATGGCAGGAAGCGTGCCGGGATCACAGGCCTGCCTGCCCGCACATCCTGCGCGCTGCAAGGGGCGACGGTGGAAGAGCACCGGTGACTTTTCCTAGCATTGTTTCCTCCCCGGGCCCGAGCAACTGCGATAAACTTCTGAAGGGCTTCACACCACCACGTCCAGAGTCGCTATTTGGAATGTGGCGAAAATACAGCCATCAGGGTTTGCTTTTTGTTGTTGTTAGCAATCAAGAGCTAGGAAAACAACCTGGACTTGCACATTCCCAGCTCTGAGACTGCAGAAGAGGCATTAAGCTAAACCGGTGCCCCCTTCCCTCAACTAACCCGGCAATGCCCGCGCAGAGGATGGGGCTGGGGTAATTCTGGATCTCTTTCAGTTCTGTCTGCAGTTCTGAAGTTGTGCAAATTAGAGCCCGTTCTCAGTGTCCGCCAGGGCTTTTGGGAGCGCGCAACCTACAGCCTAACGCCGCTAAGACAAGCTTTCCCGGAGTCTCCTTCTCTTGTCGTCGTTGACTTTGCCTAGCAGGGTGTTTGTGGTACGTCCACACACGAGCGTTGATTAAAGTTCCCACCCATTCCAACGACTGCGAGCCTGCTCCGGTTTCCAGTGAGGCATTTCATTTCTTAGAAGGATATTATTCCGAAGTATCTTCAGCCTGAAGCTGCCCCCCTCGGGTTGCCACAGAGCTTGAAGCCTCTCTTTTCTTAATTAGAAGCGGCCAATTAGGCATTGCTTGGAAAACCTCCGCCCCGCATTGTTCAAGAGCCATAAACTTTTATGCCTGCCCCTCGGGAGGGGGCCCGCCGCCCGCGCGCGGCCCCACGGTCCGGCGGCGAGCGCGCAGCAGGGCCGCCCTGCGCCCGCGAGGAGGGGGCGGCCGAAGCCCTCCGGGCGAGCCCGGGGGCGGTGCGGCCGCGGGAGCCCGAGCGCCGCGCGGCGCCTCCTTACCTTGCATGTTTTCCGGCATCTGCCCCTGTTCCCCATGCGATCGAGCCAGTCCCAGGGCTTCCGTCTCCACTTTGGGCAGCATGACAAGGCGGCCGCGGGCGGGGAGAGGGGGTCCGCGTGCGTCCGGAAGCCCAGCACCTGGACACGGGCAGCACAGATTCAACTCCGGCGGAAAGAAGGGAGGGGCGCCTGGGGCGCCGGCTCACCCACCGGCTCGCAGGAGCGTGCCTCCGCCTCCTCCGGGGCCGCGCGGGTCAGGACCCCGGAGTCCCGTCCAGTCTCGCAACTCCGGAGCCGCCCCCAAGCCGCTGGGAGGGGACGGTGGGCTCCGGGATGCGCCGCAGGCTGCGTCCCCGCGCCTGGGTCTGGCTCGGCGAGGGCGGCGGCGGCGGCGGCGGCGGCGGCGAGGGCGCAGCTGCCCGGGGCGCGGATCCGCGAGCGGCCGAGCGCGGGGACGCAGCCGAGGCGGGCGCCGCTGTGCTGCAGCCGCCGCCGCGGGGCCGGGGCCGCCGCTCCCGGACGGCTCGCGCGACTCCCACCCCTCCCTCCACGCGCCCTCTGGCTCGGAGTCGGCAGAGGTCTCGCTCTCTCGCTCGCTCTCTCCCTCTCTCGCGCCTCCTCTCCGCCCCTTCCCCCGTCTCGCTTCCCTCCCGCCAGCACAAGTGTGGAGTTGTGAAGTTACAACCCCCCTCTCCTGCCTCGCCGACTCCTCCCGCGTGTCCGAGAGCGGCGCTTCCAGCCCCGAGGGTGCCGGTGCTGGGAAGGAAAGGGGGAAGAGGCGGAGGAGAGGGGAGGTAAGCAGGACGGGGGGAAGGGGGAGGCTGGGATGAGGGGTGATGACAGTGAATGGGGACGCGGGTTCCGGACTCGGTCGGACACCAGCCGCCAGCCAATGAGGACGAGGCGCAAGCTCCAGTCCCCTCGCCTGCCGCAACCTCGCCACCCCGCCCTAACCCCCTCCCACCTCACCCTGACCTGGGGCGGGGGACGTGCGCGCAGCCGGGGCTTACAGCTGGTGAGAAGCGACCTCTGTCTGAGCGCAGCGGCGGAGGACGCGAGGCTAGGGCGACGGGAGCCTGCGAGCCGAGGGGGAACCAGAGGGGACGCGGGCGTGTGAGTGCGCGCGTGTGTCCCCGCGCGAATATCGGGTCAGGGGCTGGAGGGGGAGTTAAGCATCCATTTAAACAACCTAAAGGGGGAAAAGAGACGTTGAATTCAGGGGACCGCTCTTCTCAGAAGAGCTGGCCTGCTCTCAAGGGTCTCCTGGCTTCCTTGCCTATCGGTATTCAGTCCGAAAAGGCGCCACCGTGGGCCCCTGGAGTCCTGGAGTGGCCGAGCGCCCCGGCTCACCGAGGAGACTGCCGTCTCGCCGAGAGTCCGCTCACTTGTCGGCAATCGAGGAACAGCTATCCCTGTTCCCCCTACTCTTTACCAGGCCCTTCACTCATTTATAAACACCCCACCTCCTCCAGCCCAAGATTACAGTGGCGGCAGACTTCCTAAATTTTAGTGCACTGTGTTCCCAAGTAGAAAGCAACGACCGGACTAGGCTTTCCTTTTTCCTTCTGGTGTCTCTGGTAGGACAATCCACATGAGGCCCAGAGGCCCAGCACTTTTAATAAAGTTTTAAAGAACCATCTGTTAATGTAAGCTCCTCGGCCACCAGCCCAGCCAGATCTTCAAAGTTTTCAGATCTCATCCCAACAAGATGAAAAACATTTTTTCCAGCCTCGTGACTGCATATGAAATGCCTCATATTCAGTGTCTGCTGTGAGACTGGGTAATTATCAGAGTCCACCCACAAGGGGGTGAATTTGAATCTCAAAAGATCTGAATTTATTCTTTTTGAATGGCAGAGAGATCACACATTCAAACTGCCCAGGCCAGTATTTGATGAATTGAATAACACTCCAATCATCCCCATGATTAATCAACACTTTTATGTGAAGTGAGGTGTTCATCACGCATCCACGCCTGGCAACTCAGGTACTGTTGGCTCTCTAAAAAAATTTTTTTTGTCATTTTGTTCTTCCATATGTATTCAGAATCTAGCTTTTTAAAATCTCAGGTTTTGTAGCATCATCAAATTTCACAAAAACGTTTAAACATGGGGGAGGGGGAGTGGCCACTAGTTTGTAAAGGGCAGTGGTCTGTAGTTGCCAAAATTTGTGACCCTTAAGATGCTTAGATTTCCAGGGTAGTATCAAGTGACACTGTCAACTCATTTTCAATGTTACTAGTTGTTTTTAAATATCATTGTTAATTTAAAAAATAAATATTGTGAATTAAGTATATATATATTATATGCATAATATATAATACATATATCATATGCATATAATATATACACACACACAGAGTACAGAAAAGGAAAGGAGTCCCAGGGCTCAAATCAGTTCTTGCAGTGCTTTGTGAATTCGGATGAACTTTGAAAATCAGTTTATTCCAAAGTCTTAATTTAGGAACAATCTCCTCTCACTACAGTCAAAGAGCTTCCCCGGTGCACGTAAGTAGCACCTTTGCAAACACCAGGCTGGCAGCTTTGGGAGACTCCAGACTCTTGGTCCTCAGAGGGAAGGCCCTCTGGCTGGTAGAGATGGAGGAAGCGGTTAGGAGAGTTGAAAGAAGTAGAAAGGGGGGGTCTCACGGGACCGTATATTTGTGCATGGCAAAAATCCTTGCTTGCACTTGAGGCAGAGCCTTGACCTAGCCAAGGCAAACTTTGTGATCACATTCATAATCCAGCTTCAGCCCCAGAAGGGGCTTGCCTAGACCACACTAGCAGCCTTTTCAGTCCAGGCCAGTCCTCCCTCGCCTCACACCCCCCAAACCAGGAGTGATGGCTACAAAGGGCCCGTTGGCATTCATTTATCTCCTCACTAAGTAAGGGGGGTTGATGGGGGGCGGAGAGTAGGGGCGGGAGACAAGGTTTCAAATGGCCACCCTTAAAAAATAAATCCGCAATTGTATCACTGAGGAAAGATCCAAGGTGCTTCGCCTTGCTTTGAAGTTCTTGTCCAGGCTCACGGCTCAGCTTACCCCCGCAGGAAAGGGGCGCGGAAAGCACACGTCTCAAGCAGAGGGAAAACTTCGGGGTCCCAGGCCTCCTGCTCCAGGAAAAGAGGAGTTCCCTAGGGTCAGCCATATCCAGATCCTCGCCGGACGTCGAAACTCCTGCCGGCGGTGGACAAGGGAGAAATCTTCCACTGGAATTGGTTCTTGTCAGAGACTCGAGGGCACACTCACCTTTTCTCGGGTCGCTCTTCAAGGGCTTTAGGGGAGCAGCAGGGTCCCCAACCTGGGGCCAGACGCAGAGGGAGGGGCGGCGGCACCAGGCTTCTCACCCCACTCTCATTTCCGCCCTGCAAGTGCATCCTTCCCCCACCCTCTGAGTTCCCTGGTTCCGAACGATCCGGTCCCTTGACCCTTCAATTCCGCCGGGCAGGAGTCCACACTGGAGCGACGGACCCGCTTGCCCTGTGACCTGGGATCGGCCTGGGCTTCTCCCAGAACACCCTCTCAGAAGGAGAGCGGGAGGAGGAGGAGCCCGAGCCGCTCACCGTGCCTCGGGTCGGCTACCTGAAGATGGTTCTAGGTTGCAGAGACGGCAGTGAGGAAGGAGAGCCAAGTGGACGCGGGAAGGCGAGGCAGTTGAGAGGAGAGTAAGGGAACAGGGCCTGTGAGGTCTAAACGTTGATGCTGGTGGCGGTCTGGACTGAGGACAGATAACACCGATCGGCGTGGAATGCTAACACTCCCGCAGGCGGGCACACGCATCCCATATTCGGCCAGGAACATCTAACCTACCGCCACTCTGCCTCGTAGTGCACACTCAGGGGTCCACCCGGTCTGCGGGAGACCTAACTGGTGGCGGGGACCACAGACCACGAGCCGGGAGTTCCGGCTTTAGCTACGGTGCGGATTCGCAGTTTCTTCCCTACATTCCTTTGCCAACTTCTGGCAAACTTCTCTCCCTTTCCCCCTCACTTCCCCCACGCCTCCACCTTCTTTCCGACGAGACTGGTCTCCAGGGCTCGTCCTTCCCGGTTCTGACTTTGTCTTAAAGCGTTGATTGACGGTTGCAATTACAAAGGATGATGGCTCTGGGAGGCTCCCGCGCAGCCTTGATGAGCCCGAGGAGCGCAGTCCTGGCATATTTTATCCCGGCTCAGCGTTACGGGGCCGTGCGCCCCATTCACCCGGCGGGCGGTAGCTGAGCAGGTCTCGCACTCCCCACCCGCGAGGACGTGGCTGCCTCGCCCTCCTCCCCCGCCTCCACTTCTCCGCTATTCCGCGCCGCATTTCAGAGCGCGCGCCGCGAACAGCCTGCCCTTGACCTGACCTGAGAATTGTCTGCCAGCCCTGTGCGCTTAACGCTTGCAGGCTGCAAAGGGAGTGAAAATGTCAAGATTTCTAGGACTGGCTCAACTTCACTGGGCTCTTCCGAGTGGAAGACCCACCCCTCCCGCGCGCCTAGGTGGGAGAAGCCTCGCATGACCTCCCCAATCTTGCACGAAACTTTCAAAGCTACATTCTTGGAAACAATTTCTAATGCCTCATCCACTTCTACTTTTTGGTGTCTTTAAGGAACCAGAATCATTACTTTTCTTGTAGCACGTGCCTCCTTTTCAGCCTCAGAAGAAGCCTAGATATTTTTCGGAAAGGCTCCAAGCGGCCGGGATAGCTCGAGGGGAAAGAGAAGCAAGTTTATCAGCCAAATGAAAACTCGGGCTCTGCCTAACTTTTCTGCCCCTCCCATTCAAAAAGCCCATCAGAAGCCACTTTTGCCTTTCTCGGAAAATTAAGGTTTGCAAAGAATTCCTGAGTTCCGCTCCAGAGCTCAGGAGGCTGGGCTATTCGCCCCCGCCTCTAGGCTCCCCCCCCCACACACCCCCCCCACGCCGGCGTCCGGATCACTTTGTTTTAAGAGGAGAGGCGTTAAATTTCAGCATAGGCAGACAAATTACCCGGGAGCACCGTATTGGCCGGAGCTTTGAAAAAATAAACTTAAATAGGCGAGAAGTCCTGCCTCATTAAAAAAAAAAAAAAATCCCTTTCTGCTACAAGTGTAAATAACTACTTAAGACCTCATCTACCGCAGTCACTGGCGCAGGGGGAAAAACTATCAGTTGAGGCAT